CCTTTTTCTTCTCAATCTCATGTTGTGGGATGCCTTTCTCATCTATTAATTGGTGTATCAATCTCTTTTCTTTTTCTTTTTTAAGTTTATAAGATAGCCATCTTCCTGGTTTATTGGCGTGTTCAAAATAATTTTGTTTGGACCTTCTCAAGCTAACTTCTATTTTATCTTGTTCAATTAAATTCAGCTTATGTTTGGCTAGTATTAACTGATTTTGTAGTCCTTGGGTCTTAGGGGTTTTTTGTAATTGTGTTTCTAAGTCTTGGATTTGTTGTTGTAACGCGTTTTGTTGGGCATAAATTCTCTTGTTTCTCATAGCATTATAGGAAATTGTTGTGCCTCTTATAATTGCTTTCATAGTATCCCAAATGTTCTGTTTTGAAGTTGTTTCATTATTATTATCTTTTAGAAAATAATTTAGCTCCTCTTTCAGTTTATTAATATACTCTTCTTCGTTTACAATTTGGTTATTTAGTGTCCATCTTTTTTTTATTCGTCTCCTATCCCTCCAAATTAGCTGTATTGGGTTATGATCAGCCCATTCATTCGGTAGAATTTTGATTTCTTTTATTTCATTAGCCAAGTCCAAATCCATCCAAGCCATATCTATTCTGGTCCAAGTCTTATGTGGGTTAGAATAATATGTAAATTGTTTTCCTTCAAGATTCCGTTCCCTCCATAGATCTTTTAAATTTAACTCTCTCAACATTTCCTTACATGCTGCAGAGAGTTCCCTTTTCCCCTTCTTGTTTTTCCCCATATTACTATGGTCTTTCTGGTAGTCTGCAATGGAGTTAAAATCGCCAATCAAGCAAATGTTTCTTTTTTCAAAGCCTACTATTTTTTGGTGAAGGTGTTTAAAAAATTTCCCCTGGTCATCATTTGGGGCATAGATTGCTACAAGTAAAAATGTGATGTAGTTTATCCAAACTTGTATAACCAGAGTTCTTCCTTCGGGATCCGACCAGATTAGTTCTGCCTTTACATCTTGTTTTACATAAATTGCAATTCCTTTTTTCTTGTGTTGGTCGGCCGGTGCTGTAAAAAGTTTACCTAATTTTGGACAAATTAGATGTCTTTCGTCATTCTTCGAAATATGTGTCTCTTGAAGACATATTATATCTGCGTTATGTTGAATAAGTTTTGAGAATATCCTTTTTCTTTTTAATAATGAATTTAATCCGTTTATATTGATGGGGAGTCTCAAGTGAGAGGACAGGAGATCGGAGGTGAAGAAGTCTGGTGCAGGCTTCGAACACCTTTTCTGGCGTCAGGAGCGATCCCCCAGGGATACATGAACCCCGGAGAGGTTCGTGTCAACGTGGAGATCCTCGAGCTGCAGAGGGGGGAAGGCAACTCCCCAACAGTGAAGAGGGAAGCTCCCGAGCTCGGCGCTAAAGAGTAAGCTGTCATTTTATGGTGGCTTCCAATCCGGTCTGCCACTTGAGTGAATAAGCAAAGCAGTGACAGCCTGCGAGATCCAGTAACAGGAACAGAGAAACGGTTTATATCTTGGATTCTTTGAAGTCTGAAGGGAGTAGAATGACAGAAGAATGATAGCATAAATTCTTCTCTCCTGGTTGTGATAAGCACCTCTTGGAAGTCGGGCGGAGAGCGGCCAGAAAAGCAATTGGGGAAGCTTTGGGGAAAGAGAGAGATTGCTAAAACCTGGAGATTGGAGATCCGGAACTGGTCTGAGCACAACATGACTATTACATCTACTTAATATTGGGGAGAAGATAAATTGAGCATTATATTGGACTTTGGAAGATTTGTATGTGGATTTAAAAGTTGGAAAGCAAAGAAAGAAGCAGCAGCAAGAGGAAGAAGCCAGAGGCGAACAGAACGCTGGGAAAGATGGTTTTGGGACTGCAGATTAGTCAGCACTTTTCACCATTTGCTGATTGGAAGGCTGAAAAGAAACCTCTAGCTGGAAGATGGAACTTTAGCTCACCCAATTTGCTCTCTTTATTACGTGGTACTACTTAAGTTTACTAAGTTAGCACTATTTTCTCTTTAAGATGACTTCCTTGTGGTTGTTTGTTTGTTGATTTTCTGAAGCTGTGGTAATCTCTCTTCTACCCCTTCTCTTATTATCTTGCTCCTTGCCTCCCTATTGTATCTCCTAAACACTTTACATAATTTTACTTACTGGGGGGGGCGGGGAAGAGGAGGATACACTATTATCAAAGAGTTAAGAGTTTACTGTTGTAAGTATTAATAGTAAAAAGGGATAAACTTTGTTGATATAATCTATTTATAAATTATTTAGACTACTTACGACATTTAAGATTAATTCCTTAAAGTGTTAATTGATGTACTATTGTTGACCAATTTTCTTATTACATTGACTAGAATATTGTTGCAGATCTCTATTTATGATATAGGGGAAAAGACTGTGGAGTGAGATATAAAATTGAAATACGTGAATAGTCTTTCAAGTACAGAACCCAAATACTGAATGGTGATTTGGGATAATATATTTAATATTGTGCATCAACAAAAACAAATACTTAGAGAGATGACATCCACAACAACTATGGCCTTAAAAACAGGAAAGAAGGCTATCCCGACCCTATCGACTACGTTGACAGCCACCCCACCAACATCTCAAAAAACTATCGAGGAGTCTTTAATAGGGGAAAAGCAGCCCAATGTCCCCAATATTAATATACAAACTTCCATATTAGCTTTGCAGGAAGCTATATCTAAAATGCAAGAAATGATGATTAATAATCACAAGGAAACTAGAGCAGATATAAGCGAATTGAAAGATGAGATGGGGAAAATGAAGGCTGAAATGAAAGCGGATATAGCGAAGGTGGAGGGTAAGATAGGGTCTCTACAGCAGGCCATGGAGAGAAACGAAGTGAAAATAAAAGATATAGAGAGTAGAACAACACGCATGGAGTCTAACTTTGAAAGGATGGATGAGGAATTTAAAAATGTACTTAGAGAAACGGAAGACTCTCTGATCCACCTCGAGATGGACAAAGCAATGGCGTATTTAAGATTCCAGAATGTGGCGGAAGCCAAAAATGAAGAATTGGAACATGTGATGGCAGAAATATTGGCTGAATGGCTAGGAAAGGAAAAAGATGATCTAATTAAAGAGTTTGATGAGGTATATAGGGTTAGCACAAGCTACGCCAGGCGTAACAACTGTCCAAGAGAAATTCATATCCGCTTCTCTAGGAGATGTCTGAGGGATTTAATTTTGAAAATGTCTAGGGAGGAAACAATATCATATAAGGGCAGAGAAATTAGGATTTTAAAACAAATTCCAAAGAGAGTGAGGATGATAAGACAAGATTATAAATTTTTAGCTAATGATTTAAATAAAGAAGGAATCCATTTTAAATGGTTAATCCCGGAAGGGATGTTAATTACATGGAAAGAGAGGAAAATCAAAATAGAATCGATAGAACAGGCCCAAGTTTTTCATCAACAGCTCACAGATAAGAATAGTCAACCCACCAAAGAAGAAACTAAAACAAGACCACAGGAGGTCCGATATTATCACAGAACCCAAAAGGAACGACTTTCTCCAATTTCAAGAAGTGATAATCCACAACAGGGGAGAGAAGAGCAAATCCCACAACAACAACAACAAGAGAACCGAATCATTACTAGGCAAAAATCTAAGCAGAAGTAGATAAATGGTGGAGGGGAAGAAGTTGCTCTCCATCAATTTCCTGCTTTTTCAACTGCAGCTGTGCCGCGCAAAGCAGCTGCTGTTGAAAAAGTAGAAATAAAGGACAGGTAAGAGCCCAGGTGGGCCAAAACAGCAGCAAACACAGAATCGGTTTGGTGTCTGCTGCTCTTCAGAGCTACCGGTTCTGTAGAGCTGGACAGAAGCGGTAGAATCCCACTCCTGGGTGAGCCCATTTTGATAGTATGTTGCAGGCACATTCACTAAATGAGGTAAAGTAAGAAAGCTGCACCTTGCTATCTCATCCAGATCACAAGTCTTCTGACTTCTAGGCAGGATAGAATATTTATAACTAGCTCGATATCTGTGGTTTGCTATGAAACTATGTGGTAGGGCTTAGTTTTGCGGGAGGAAAATAAGGGGAAAAAAATTCTGCCTCTGTCTACCAGCCTCCATTGGTATTTATCTGGCTAGCGCCCTGTCAGTGTGTGAGAGTGGAGTGCTGTTTGGAAACTGAAACAGGATTTGCTGTGTGAGCGAGAAGGAGACAGCAAGGAGCCTGGCCGTGGCTTAGCTCAACTGTTCTGTACTAAAGCTGCTTGCCGCTGTGAAACTAAAACTGAAACTGAAACTCCTCTCCTCTGCTTGTGTTTTGCATTTGGAAGAGATTTATTTTCAGATGTGGAGGGGGAAGTAGAACTCCTTAGCATCAGAGTGTGTTAATAATAATATACGAAATACTAATGCTCTGATAGTCATTTCAAAAAATCCTGAGCACCTAGAAGCCAAGAGGAACATATGTTCCAAATTTCAAGTTTGTAGGCTTCGTAGTTCTGGAGATTTTGTGATGATGCGTGAGTGGTATTTCGCTTTTATATAGAGAGAGGATAATTCCCTGGCTTGCCTGTTTTCCATCTATTTTTATTTTAATACATCCATTGAAGTGATCCTACAAATGCCACCTTGCAGCATTTTAAAAGATTCTTCATCAGGGCAGAAACCTGGTGCTCCTCACAGATACTACATATTGACACTTCTAGATCTAGCCCTAATCTTGATGTCCTTTACAGTTAGACCAGCCTTTCCTAACCCAGCACTGTCCTGCAATTTTGGGACTCCGGTACCAAGAATTCCTTACTGGTGTAGGAGATGCAGTCCCCCTGATACATCTGGAGAGGCCTCTTTTGGATGAGGCTAATCAAAACCTATTCTAGTAAGCTATCTTTTAAAACATTCAACTTTGGATGCTTATTTTAAAGTTGGATTGAAAGCACATTGCTATTTAGCAAATGCATCCTCTTTTCCTCGCTCTAACCACTAGGGGACACCTTCTTGCATGCATACTTACCAATCTGGAAATAGGAATAGACAGCTAGTGCTTCATTGACAAGGCGGTCCCGTCGAGGATTTCGGGGTTTCAGATGCATGATATCACTCTCAGCCTTTTCATAGGCCAGCGAAACCGAGGGGAACTGTGGGGGAGGACAGAATATCTAGAACAAGCATTTGATGCAGCTTTATTTACACCCCAGGCTTGCTAGGATGGACTTTGGGAAATTTTGGGAACTTGGTGTGGTGGATGACAACCTTTTAGAGCAAGAGTAGCCTTTAGACCTGTAAGGTTGGAGTCAAACAACATACTTAACCTGATAAATGAATTAATTCATATCATTTGGGTTTACCTTGATCTAACCAAGTAGGCTAAATTGGCCTCACCTCAAAATTAAAACTATTAAAAAACAAACAAACGCACCTTAATAACTCATAAATACAGTCACTGGCTTAGTGGATTTAGCGTGTTGTGTGACTGCAACAATTATGTTGCCTTACACAGGCTGGGTTAACACTTTTGTTTCAAAAGAAATGGCTTATATATCCACAAAATGGGACCCACAAAATTAAATCTGGTTTGGAGGGGCGGATGTCTTTTATTCTGCTTCCTGCAAACTTTGGTCCCTTAGGACTCACAATGTCTGTACACAACTCGATGAAGAGGATGGTGATGCAGCCAAGAGGAAGAGGGACACTGACGGTGATGTAGATCAAGTAGGGGGTCAGCTCGGGGATGTTCTTGGTCAAGGTATAAGCAATGGATTTCTTGAGATTGTCAAAGATCAGGCGCCCTGGAGGGGAAACAATGAAAAATGCAGAACAGGAATGGCTTCTTTCTATGTGCTGTAAGAGCCGCGGTGGCGCAGTGGTTAGAACGCAGTACTGCAGGTGGCTATTGCTGACTGCCAGCTGCCTGCAGTTTGGAAGTTCGATTCTCACCCCCTCAGGGTTGACTCAGCCTTCCATCCTTCCCCCAAGACAGTAAAATGAGGACCCAGATTGTTGGGGGCAATAGGCTGACTCTGTAAAACCGCTTAGAGAGGACTGTAAAAGCACCGTGAAGCGGTATCTAACTCTTAAGTGCTATTGCTATTATTCTAGGTGCATGAGGACAACCTATCTCAGAATCTCTCTACCAAGGGATCCTCCCAGAAACCGACCTTGCTCAACGCCAGTGACAATGGAGGCAAAATTGTCATCCAACAAGATCATGTCAGCAGCATTCTTGGCTGCATCGGATCCAGCAATGCCCATCGCAACTCCGATATCGGCTTTCTTCAGCGCCGGGGAGTCATTCACCCCGTCTCCTGTAACAGCCACAATTGCACCCTGTGGATAAGAGCGAGAAGCTATAAAACTTGGGTTCTACAAACGGGATTCAGAACAAAGATTTGTAATGGGCAGCACTTCTCTTTAGTATTCCATGTGCTCGGAAGGCTTTGCTACGCCATGTTTCTTCTTGGTCTTCATTCTGGAAAGGGATACCTACCATATTTTCCCATGTATAAGATGATACTTTTTCTTTAAAACTCTCTTTATATAAAAGCGAAATACCACTCATGCATCCTCACAAAATTTCCAGAACTGTAAAGCCTACAAACTTGAAATTTGGCATGTATGTTCCTCTTGGCTTCTAGGTGCTCTCTAAGAAAGGATTTTTCAAGATGACCATCAGAGCATTAGTATTTCTTATATTATTATTATTATTATTAACATGCTCTGATGCTAAGGAGTTCTACTCTCTCTCCCCACCTGAAAAGAAATCTGTTCCAAATGCAAAACACAAGCAGAGGAGTTTCAGCTTCGGTTTCATAGCAGCAAGCAGCTTTAGTACAGAACAGTTGAGCTAAGCCACACCCAGGCTCCTTGCTGTTTCCTTCTTGCTCACACAGCTCGTACTGTTTCAGTTTCCAAACAGCCCTCAACTTTCTCACACACTGACAGGACACTAGCCAGATGAATACAAATGGATGCTAGTAGACAGAAGCAGAATTTTTTCCCCTTATTTTCCTCCCCAAAAAACTAAGTTTGACCACATAGTTTCGTAGTGAAGCACTGGTATCGAGTTATTATTTACCTAAAAATAAAGGGGCGTTTTATACACAGGGTGGCTGGGAGGAGAACCGCAGTTGGAAAAGCTGCCGATATCTTATCTCTGCAAACTAACCTCAGGAGCGAAACTTCCAATTGCAGAGACAAACTAACGGGTTTCCTCCAGTCATGAGCCTTATGTAACTGATGTTGGCAGACAGTGTGTAACCAGTGCCCACATGTGACAGGAAGCCAGGGGGGATTCAACCGGTGTTACTACTGGTTCAGTGACTATGTTTTGCACGCACATGCATAAAAAAACCATCAGCTGTGTTGCCCAGACAGCTGAAAAGTTCTGCGTGCAGGTGCACAGCGTTTGTAAAAGCCACTTTTTTTCCTGCTTTTTCAGCCTCAGCTGTGCTGCACAAAGCAGCTGAGGTTGAAAAAAGCAGGAAATAAAGGTCAGGTAAGAGCCCAGGCGAGCGGGTGGACCAAACAGCAGCAAACACAGAACTGGTTCAATGTCTGCTGCTCTTCAGAGCTACCAGTTCTTTTAGAGCCAGGCAGAACCGATAGCGTCCCACCCCTGCAGGGAGCGGTAATGTCGGAGCATTCTGAGCCCATAAAAATGTCAGAAAACTAAAAAATAAATACCAGTACAGGTAAGCAAATATCTTACTCTGCAAAATACATGTTTAAATGTTTAAAATAGTGATTTCTGAATTTTGGGTAAGAAAAGTGGGGGAGAGGGCCCCCCAATACATGGGGTCATCTTATAGATGGAAAAATACAGTAATTAGAAGCTTCTTCATATCACAATTGGTCCAGGATGGCTGCTTCAGGCATTTCTATATATCCCAGGGTAATGCGCTTGTCCGTTCAGCTTAATGTATTTCACAAAGCAATTATGAAGATTAAAAAAAAATGGCAACCCCGCATTGTATTATCTTTGGAGGAAGGGAAGGATGCAGCCAATTATTTCATTATGGACCGTGCCCAGGCTTAACTTGTTTACCAGGTTCATCAAAATCCATCTGGGAAGTTCATATCAAATTATAAATAGATCATGATTTATGGGAATTACACAAATCAAATTATCTTTATTATGGTCGTTGGCCAGCATTTATACATATTAAAACCATAAGGAAAAAAAAAAAACCCTAAAGGGAGAATTATCAGCGTTTGGTATTTTGTATAAATGCTGTCACTGGTTCTGTAAACGTTCTGGTTTCAATAGCTGGGAAAGTTTTAAAAAGTAGGTGTCAAATATACCTACTTTTTATAAGAAGTTTGGATCTTACCCAGGGGTAGGCTGCTGCAGATTCGCACGGTTGGGAGTTTCTCTAGCTAAGAGTCTGCCCAGTTTGGTGAACTCGCAAATCCCATCCCTGGCTGGCCCCGCCCACCCTGCCCTGCCCCTCCCAGGAGTCCCCATGTGGCCCATTTTGGATGCCAGGTAAGTACAGGGCCTGTGCAGAAGCTAAGGAAGGGTGAAAAACGGGCCTCCTGAAAGTCTGAGAAGGCCGGAAATGGGCCTGTTTCCCGCCTCCAGAGGGCCTCCAGAGCCTGGGGGAGGCTGTTTTTGCCCTCCCAGAGTCTTGAGGAAAGCCTCTGGAGCCTGGGGAGGGTGAAAAACGGGCCTCCCGGAAGTTCTGAAAGGCTAGAAGTGGGCCTCCAGAGGGTTGCTGGAGTCCCGGGGGAGGCCATTTTTGCCCTCCCAAAGGCTCAAGGAAAGCCTCCGGAGCCTGGGGAAGGCAAAAACACCCCCCTCCATGGTGCAGGAGGCCAACTAGGTCACGCCCACCATGGCCACACCCACCCATCAACCTGGGAGAAAACCGGTAGCTAAATTTTTTGAAGCCCACCCGATCTTACCAGTTTCTGACAGCTTTCTACAATGATGAGCTTCTGCTGCGGAGAGGTACGTGCAAAGACCATCTCTGGATGCATCTTGAGGATCTCAACCAACTCTTCACTTTCCATATCTTTCAATTGACCTCCATTGATTACACATGCCCGGGCATCCCTTGAAATAAGAGAGAAACCTTCCTCAAGATTAAAAAACCTCCCCAATAGCACCCTAGCAACACCACATGACTTCTTCCCTTGCACAAAATATCTTCCTTGTCCGATGTCGCTGTCACTCTAAGTAGCTCTTTAACATGTCTGGGTATTAAGATGCTCACCGCTTGTTAACTTGCTCCACGGGGATGCGGAGGCGGGTGGCTATATCTTCAACAGTTTCACTGCCCTCTGAAATGATGCCAACACTGGCAGCGATGGCTTTGGCAGTGATTGGATGGTCTCCGGTTACCATGATCACCTGGGGGGAAAATGGGAGAAGGGGTGGGGATTGCAGCAGTTGTCTCTATACATTTTTGTCACATACCCAAGTATCTTGAGCCATGGTGGTACAGGGGTTGGAGTGCAGTACTGCAAGCTACTTCTGCTGACTTCCAGTTGCCTGCAATTTGGCTGTTCGAATCTCACCAGGCTCAAGGTTGACTCAGCCTTCCATCCTTCCGAGGTACATAGTGGTACAATTTTTCAACGCCCTCCCTTCCAATGTCTTCATTTGTGAAATAGATTGTGCAAGCACTTTTCTTGTTTTTTTAGTATCCATTTGCGTTAAAAGATGACTTTTATGTCATTTGCTTGTGATGATTTCAAATACACCTGTATAGGTTAGATTTTCCGCTTTCCTTCTTAACATAGCCCTCATCAATTTTAAGGCCATATGCGCTTGCAGTTAATAAATGATTTTTTAAAAAATTAAACAAGATGTGATTTCTGTACTGTGTAATGAAATCCCAGGTTCTGGCTCTATTGGTAGCTGAATTCACTTATTTCTCTTCTGTCTCAATTCTGTAAACCACTTAGAGAGGGCTGTAAAGTGGTATATAAGTCTATATACCTGAAGTCCAACATACCTAGAAGTTTCAGATTAGGAAGGAACCATCCTAGGATCTTGTAAGATTTCAACGTGTCCCCGTCTGGCTTTCATAGCATTATTATGAATATTTTCCCAACCATTTAAATCAGGGGTGTCCAACCTTGGCAACTTTAAGACTTGTGGACTTCAACTCTCAGAATTCCTCAGCCAGCAAAGCTGAGTTGAAGTCCACAAGTCTTAAAGTTGCCAAGGTTGGACACCCCTGATTTAAATCATCAGAACATCTGACGGACTTACCCGGATGCCTGCAGTACGGCATTTCATGACGGCATCGGGCACAGTGGCTCTAGGTGGATCAATCATAGAGATAAGGCCTGCAAAGCATAGCCCACTAGTGGGGAAGTTTGTTTCCTCACTGTCAAAGTGATAGCCACGCGGGAACTCATTCTGGGGAAGATAGAGATGACAGAAACCTGTGGACAAGAGAGATGCATTAGCATAGCCCATAAATCAAACTACTTTATTCAAATTCAAGACAGCTCCATCTTCACTTAGCCCATAATGTTCAAACTGGTCTTTTGATGCTTCACTTGATATTTCAGGTTTCTCATAATCCAAGTAGTTAACAATGTTGAGGGTGTTGGATACCTAACATCAAAAACATCATCAAAAAAGCACAACAAAGAATGTTCTTTCTATGCCAGCTCAGAAAGCTCCAACTGCCCAAGGAGCTGCTGATACAGTTCTACAGAGGAATTATTGACTCTGTCATCTGCACCTCTATAACTGTCTGGTTTGGTTCTACAAGCCAACAAGACAGACACAGACTTCAGAGAGTAATTAGGACTGCAGAAAAAACAATTACTATCAACCTGCCTTCCATGGAGAATCTGTATACTGCATGAGTCAAAAAGAGGGCTGTGAAAATATTTAGAGACCTCTCACATCCCAGACATAAAGTGTTTCAACTCCTACCCTCAAAACAACGCTATAGAGCATTGCACATCACAACAACTTAGACGGACAGTTTTTTCCCAAACGCCATCACTCTGCTAAACAAATAATTCCCTCAACACTATCCAACTATTTACAAAGTCTGCACTACTATTACTATTAATCTTCTCATCACTCCTTATCACCCATGCCCTCCCTCTTGTGACTGTATGACTGTAACTTTGTCGCTTGTATCCTTACGATTTATATTGACTGTTGCCTAGTATGATTTGATTGCTTATGACTATCATTAACTGTTGTACCTTATGATTCTTGACGAATGTATCTTTTCTTTTATGTACACTGAGAGCATTTGCACCATAGACAAATTCCTTGCATGTCCAATCACACTTGGCCAATAAGGAATTCTATTCTATTCTATTCTATTCTATTCTATTCTATTCTATTCTATTCTATTTTATTCTATTCTATTCTATTCTATTCTATTCTATTCTATTCTATTCTTCAGTAGTAGCTGGGAGACACTATCTAAATTTCCTGAATGCTGCTCATGTAAAATCCCTCTGAGAAATTGTAGGGGAGTTCAGTAGTGGCTCCATGCTGCTCACAAGAGCATAATTGCTACCTGGAAAGGCTCAACATGTCAATGAAGGAGAAGATCCAGAAAGAGGGCATTTCGTTGAGGTTCTTCTCAAAAATAAAAAAAAATAGAGATGGCCTACCAGCAGGGAGTTGCAGAGATTTTTTTTTAAAAAATTACTTAATGAAAACTTCAGTCATTGATGTTATTCTTTCTTACCCAGCACACGCTCGCCCAGTCCACCAAGGTCCATATAAGCTGTTTGGAAAGCTTCTCTCCATTGCTCGTCGAGGGCCAACTCCTGGCCCTTAATCATGATGGTGGAGCAGCGTTCCAGGATCCTCTCAGGAGCACCTTTCATCACCAGCAGGTGGCGCTGGTCTCTGGGATCTTCAAGCTCATGGATAGACAGCTGAAAGTAGGGGAAGACCATAGAATTAATGAGATGTGTCCCTACCCAATGGGACTGCAGCCAAGAAATTAAAAGATGCTTGCTCCTAGGGAGGAAAGCTATGGCAAATCTAGACAGCATACTGAAAATTCAGAGATTCAGGGGTTGTGATGGGTCGGACATGACTTCGCACAACAACAACATGCAATTTTCTAGCTTCTTGGCTTTTGGCAATGAACTAAGCAGGAGGGAACAGATTTAAATGCCAAATTAATTCGAGTTCCTTTTGCTTAACTCCTTGGAACCAAGGGGACAGAAAGTCAGCTGCTAACCTGGAATTTGTTGGTGGAGTTGAAGGGAATCTCGCAGACTTTTTTGTAGCGCTCCCGGTACTCCATGACATTGCCGAGGGTGATTTCAGAGAATTTCAGCAGGGCTGTCTCCGAGGCATCTCCAATTACAATACGCTGGGATTGAAAAGGGAGAGAAACGTTGAAACGGGATGAGCACTGTTGAAGCACTGGCTTGAATTTGCATTTATACTAGATCGGTGTTTTTCAAGTTTGACGGCTTTAAGATGAGTGGGCTTCAACTTCCTCAGAAGGCAAGATAGTTAAATTGAGATTGGTTAGCTCATGCAGAAGTAAGTTTTCTTATTTCTATTGGCAACTCTAAAAGACTATAGAATTATTTTATGAGTTGACATTTTGATTGCCCCTCACTTGGTGTCTATGGAGATTCTCAGTCATCCAGGTCCTGGTTGTCCCAAAGGTGCTTTTTTCAAGAGGCAACTGGACTTTCTGGTTTATTTCTTTGAAGACGTTTCGCTTCTCATCCAAGAAGAAGAACCTGAAGAAGCTTCTTGGATGAGAAGTGAAATGTCTTCCAACAAAAACCAAAAGGCACCTTTGGGTACCTTCACTTGGGTCTGAGTTGAATAGCTGACCCAACCTTGCTGCTTTGCAAGTGTGCTTCACAATAAGCCTCAACTTTTGATCTTAACTGGTTTGGTTGAGGATGCTGGGAATTGCAACTAAATGCCTATTGGGGACAGAACCTCTAGCCATTATGCCATCCTGGGCAGTGTTTTTCAAATTTGGCCACTTTAAGACATGCTGGTTGGGGAATTCTGGGAGCTGAAGTCCACATGCCTTAAAGTGGCCGAGTTTCAGTAAACTTGGGTTAAAGCCTTCTCCATTGACTTTGCTTGTCAGACAGTCGCAAAAGGAGATCACGTTATCCCAGGACACTACAACCGTCATAAATACAAGTCAGTGGCCGAGCATCTGAATCTTGATCATGTGACCATGGGGATGCTGCAATAGTCCTCTAAGGGTGAGAAATGGTTGCAAGTCACTTTTTTCCATACCGTTGTAACATTGAATGGCCATTCCATCAATGAACTGTTGTACGCTGTGGACCACCTGTAAATGCTTACTCTTTTGTCACGGTTCTCATCGTACGCTAAGTAAATAAATAAATAATCCATAATAATTCTTACCCGTGGCACAGGTACGTTGTCCTGTCCTGATTTGAAAGAAGCCCGGTTGCAAAGGCTCACCACTTTACATAGAGCTCTCCAGGTCTCCGAGGACTGATCAAAACTTTGCCCTATGGAGCAGAACAAGGAGCAACGTGGCAGGTTTTCTGCACTGTAAGCTTAGGATGGGCAGCGTGGTGCCCATTGTTACCAACTTTCCCCTCTGCTGGTTGCTTGGCTCGCAAATACCTGACTGGTCTTCTGTAGTGTCCGCAGTGTGGATTTGGTTGTCGAACCAAAGATGTGAGACCGTCATTCGGTTCTGGGTGAGCGTCCCGGTTTTATCCGAGCAGATGACGGATGTGGAGCCCAGCGTTTCGACAGCTTCCAGATTCTTGACCACGCAGTTCTTCCTGGCCAGTCGCTTGGCTGTGAGAGACAGACAGACCTATCCAAGGAGGATGAGAGGGAGGCCGGGGGGGGGGGGGAGAGGGGATAGGAAATGAATGAAGTCCAATATTTGGAATTTGGGATAGCTAAAGTCAACTTAGGTTGAGTGCGTTAAGCCATTTGTTCAAGACTGACCACACTCCCAATCTTATGTTTCTGGCTGGCTGGAAGGTATGGGAAAAGTAATCCCAAAGGTGCTTTTTCAGGAGGCAACTGGACTCTCTTGTTTTTTTTTCTTTTGAAGACGTTTCGCTTCTCCTCCAAGAAGCTTCTTTAGCTCTGACTGGATGGTGGGGAATAGAAGGATTTATATTCCTTGCAGACAGCTGGTCATTTGCATCCTTCTAGAAGGTGGTTGAAGCACTTAGAGGTTTACCTGTGTCCTCAGGGTCTGTCTGCAAATCCTTCCATTCCCCAATATCCAGTCAGAGCTGAAGAAGCTTCTTGGATGAGAAGCGAAACATCTTCAAAAGAAAAAAAACAGGAAAGTCCCATTGCCTATTGAAAATAGCACCTGTGGGACAATCATGGCCTGAAAGGCTGAGAATCTCTACAGACCTATGGGAAAAATAGTGCAGAATATCCGAAGGATACCATGTTGGGAAGGATCATTTAGTTCATTCCTAGCTGTTCTGTTAGGTGGTAAGTCTTTGAACCGTGGAAGATATTTTGTTACTTGAGACGTTCCCTGGTGGAGGTGTTTATGGAGATTCTCATCTCTGGTGGGATTCAATTCTTTTTTTACTTCTGGTTCTGTGGGTGTGGCTTGGCGGGCATGGCAGGGGAAGGATATTGTAAAATCTCCAGTCAGAGGTGGTATTTGCCGGTTCTCTGAACTACTTAAAATTCCTGCTACCAGTTCTCCAGAACTGGTCAGAACCTGCAGAATCCCACCTCTGATTCTCGGTCACCCAGATCGTGGTTGTCCGAAAGATGCTTTTTCAAAAGGCAACTGGACTTTGTTTTTCCTTGAAGATGTCTTGCTTCTCACCAAAGAAGCTTTCTCACTTCTGATGGAATGGAAGGATTATATATTTCTTGCAGTCATCTGGTCACGAACACTCTTCCTTCAACAGAGGGGGAGGGGTATGACACCCCTGTTCATAACAAAGTCCTTTCATCAGTTCCACACCCACTTGGACTATTCAGGTGACGCCCGAAGGCGCAGATAAGCTGCCAAACAAAGTCCAACTGCTTTTTGGAAAAACACCATTGGGACTTCCTGGTGGAGATGCCAGGGTGTGATCACAGTAACTTCCTCCATACAAAGCAACATGGGAAGATGTTAAGGAAAGAACAGGGGGAAAGTATCCAAGGAAGAGCTCAAATGGCTGGTGGTGCGATATTTACCGTGACTGTTGCTAGAAGACCCTCAGGGACATAAGCCACCACAATTGCCATGAAAAAGACCATGGCCCTGAGGAAGGGGTAGCCGATCACCATGGCAACAACAAAGAAGGTGGCACCAAAGAAAATGGCCAAGCCAGCTATGATGTCCACAAAATGCTCGATCTCAATAGCAATGGGTGTCTTCTCATTCTCCACTCCTGAAGCCAGGCTGGCGATGCGCCCAATGATGGTGCGGTCCCCGGTGTTAATGATAACGCCAGTGGCAGTTCCTGAAAAGGAAGAAGGGAAGAGCTAGAAGCTACCAGAGGACAATCAAGGCCTCCCCTCCCCCAAAATAGTGCTTCCTACCTTCTAAGCACATGGTTGAGAAGAAGGCAATGTTTCTTGTTTCTAAGGGGCTCTCATGGGTGCATTCTGGGGTACGGTTTTGAGGTTCGGATTCCCCTGTCAAAGAGGAATTATCCACCTAGAAAAAAGGAGGGAAGAAAGAAAGGAGGTTTCCTATGTGCATCGTGCCATAATTCCATGGAACTCTGTAGGCACAACTCTCGGTATGGAGTTAATTGCCCGCGGAGGGATAATTTTCAACTCTGAAATTTACATTGTGCATTTTCTTTCTTACATTATTAAAAAATGTCTATCTGCAGGAGATGGGAACATTTTTCTCTCTCCACAGACTGCCCTCTGGTGCTTTGGAGAATAATTTGACACCCTCTTCTTTGTGGTACCCCGTCAAATACTGGAATATTGCTAGCATGTCATCCCTAATTCTTTTTTTCATTAGACTAGCCAAACCCAGATCCTGCAGCCATTTCTTCATATGTTTTAGTCTCCAGGCCTTTGATCATCTGAGTTGCTCTTCTCTGAACTTTTTCCAAGGTCTCAACATCTTTTTGTAACATGGTGACCAAAATTGGCCGTAGTATTCCAGGTGTAGTCTTACTAGGATTTTACAAAGTGGTACTCGTACGTCACGTGATCGTGATCCTATGCCTCTGTTTATACAACCCAGGACTGTTTTTCTGCTCTTTTGGATGCTGCTGCACATTGCTGGCTCCTATTCAAGTGATCCTTTCTCTAGTTCCTTTCCTTCTTCCAGAGAAATACGTGGGCCAAACTTTCGAATCTTTCTCCAGCAGAGGGGGAGTAAAGCAAACCTTCTGGAGTGGGGAGAAGGTGAGGTCATATTTATCAGAACAACCTTCGCTCTTATTTAGGTACCTTGCATCCTTGACCAGTGATGATTCTGATGTCCGCTGGGACTCGGTCTCCCCCTTTGATCTCCACCAAGTCACCCACTACCAGTTGATTAGCATTGATCTGGAACTTGTCACCATCCCGAATCACCGTGGCTTGCTGTGTGATTGGAAGAAGAGAAGAAACAAACCTGGATTTGAGATTATTCAGCAGAGGTTATACTACCTGAGACTTCTCAGAAAACAACAACTGAATGAAAAACTGCCGGTGACCTTCTACTGCTGCACCATAGATAGGATTTTATCTTACTGCACCTCTGTATGGTTTGCCAATTGCACAGGGGCAGATAGCAAAGCACTCCAGAAGGTTAATTTCATTGCCCAGAGGATCATTGGTTGCCCTCTTCCCTCTTTGGAAGAGCTTTATAGCTCCCGCTGCCTTAAGAAAGCTCAAAACATTCTCAAAGATCCATCTCATCCTGGGAACCCTTTTTTAAAACTATTACCATCTGGCAGACGGTACAGGATAATAAAAACAAGGACAAATAGGCTGAAAAACAGCTTCTATCCCAGGGCAGTAACTCTATTGAATTCTACTGTACAGTACACTGAAGATGGTATTTAATTTTGTTGTACAACGTGCAATGACAATAAACTAAACTAAACTAAACTAAACTAAACTAAACTAAACTAAACTAAACTAAACTAAACTAAACTAAACTAAACTAAACT